CTTCGACAATCTCTTGAAGCCATCTCCGTACTAAATTTATTATCTGACCCCTCGACTTTTCTTTCAATTCTTCGATCTTTTCATACTTTAACTTCTCGGCCGCTTGCAATAACACATCCACATCGTTTTTATAAAGTAACTCTTCCACTTTTAGTCGTAATTCCTCGAGATTCTCCATAGTATAAACAAATACAGCAAAGTCAAAACCCTTTCGTATCGTCTTACATAATGTCGCTTATATTTCCACCAAAATCGGCTTTAATTCCATCCCTAAACCAGTTGGCAGCCCCACGTTGGGCGCCAAAATGTTACTCCTTTTTCCCTTCACGTATGGAACATAACGATTGCAAACGATATATATTTTATTACTAACAAAATGTGAACTATATAAACTCTCGTTTTACATGTGCTCGAAGCAACTGTTAATCTATATATTGTCCCGCGAGTGTCCCACGCGTGATTCTTGCGTAATCATACAACTAAGGGCAGGGGCCCTACACTTGTTTGCGCTTCACAAGCAGAAATGCTTGAGAAATTTGAAGAGTACAAAATAAAAACAAGTAGTGGTTGGAGATGTATCAAATCAAATGCACTTTTTGGTAAGTGAACTAATTTCAATATGTAAATTTGTCTTATAAATATTCATACGAATACCGTGTGTCATGTGTGCAATATTTTAATATGAAAGATCCAAATTATGCATATATAAAACCTTTATCGATTTACTGCAGTACTACACTCATATAATAATATAGTATGTCTTTATAAAGGTCGAAAGATGCATGTGCTTTAGAATTATATAGTAAATCTTACTGGATAAAAACCTTTCATAGGGGACCGCCAGTGCCGTAGCCAGAACGATAATTGGGGGCACATATTCATATATTCGTGTTCATATACCATAAAAACAATTGATTTCAAAAGAAATTAATAAAGCAGAACACGAATATATGAATATGTGCCCCCCCCCCCCCAATTATCGTTCTGGCTACGGCACTGGGGACCACTCATTAATAATGGGAGAGGGGCGGTGGGTGATAGATACCAAATATTGAACATTTTTTAGAGCCGCCCCAATCGCAAGACCTTTATTTTCAAGATGCCCCCACCTTCATTTAGAAATTTAGCCCCCCCCCAAAAAATTTAATTTGTTACTTAGTTGGTGTAAAATAGATAATGGTACAAGTACTGGTGTAAGATATTGGGCAGCCTAAATAATAAGAGGACAAGTATTCAAAATGGTTGTTATTTACTCTGACTCCAATCATGAACTGCATATACGTAATAAACTATGGAAAATACGATTATAGGAACTAAAAAAGGTGAAATATTTTGCAATATGATAAAGGCAAGAGATTGAAAATGAGTAGGAAAGTATTCAAAATTTGGGGTCGCCCCCTTGTCACAAACCAACTGATCCATTAACCTATTAAGTTGCATGACTCCCCTTGATGAGCAAAATCATCTAGCATTAGAAAGAGTAAAGATTTATTTTATTAAATTATTATTTTATTTATTTTACTAAAGATTTACTGTGTCATCTGCTGCTGTTGGAAGATCCTTTTCCTTGAACATTTTACTAAAAATTTACTGTGTTATTGTACATAATTTCTAGGGAAAATATAAGAAAAATTCAAATGTTGTATTTCCAAAAATATGCACTCTGAGACTTTGAAATTTTAAATTTGTGGACCCAGGGGGAGGAACAGCTTAACCAAAGCATACAAAAGTCAGATGTATTGGGGGGGCAATATTTTCTGAGTGGGGGGGTCCCCCCCCCCACCCCAGCTCTGGCTAGGTTACTGTACAGTATTCCCTAAAGCAATAAAATATTATTAATATTTGTAACTAATAATTATTACTAATTATTAGTAAATTTTTCTTATTTATGTTGCTCTCTAATAGTAAATTAGCCAAGCCGGACTGCAAGATTCAAATGCTAATGAGTATAAATGGCCAATTGCACAAGGCAGATTAAAATAGTGACTTGAACAGACTAAACAGTGATGCGACCATAGTTGGGTTTCAATCTGAATAATGTGGCACTTTAGCACTTGGTGGTCAACTCCCAAACTAGGAAACACAGTTATTGGGTTGAGTTCATTATATTCATTATATTAATTCACCTTGTATTCAATAGCAAATACAGAACATTTAACAAAATTTGCTCGCTTCCACAAGGCATATAAAGCCACAAACGTGCTAAGTTGACCACCATGTGTTTTCCTATGAATATGTCACCAATATTATTAAATACTATGCCACATGTGGGCTATATTTTTCTCTTGGAAAATAAAAACACGTTGGCTACGGTATATGAATATAATGTTTATGAGTTAAAATGATTTTTAAATCAACTGGTTTTTACCAGATGACCATTATATATACAGTGATCACAAGAGATCATTAAAGTACACATCAATCTCCACCTTGATGACCACTTTGGAAAGTGCTCGAATTTGTGAAGGTCTAAGTAAAAAGGAACACATTGTCTCCCTGTGTGAAGATCCCAGCCCAACCTGTGGTTCCAGCAGTGTGATGCGACATGCAATCCCAATTGAGCGGAAATTGTATGAAGAGGATGGTACACCATTTCAGACTCATGTGTTTATCAGGTCTGAACATTGTGAATTGCTTTGCAATGACATTTCCTGTTCTAAATGTATCCAGAAGGAAAAATCCCTCGGCAAAATGAAATCGAGTACATCAAAGAAAACGACTGCGCCTCTCAAGGGTAATGCACCTCTGACTGGTTCAAGTAAGGAGAGGTTAATTGCCACTGTCTAAAAGCAAAGGCTGGTATGTAAGGACTAATGCTGTGCTGAGTGGTTATATTACTACCTTAAAAAATAAGCAGAAACTCGACGTTTCGAGCGAAGGCCCTTCGTCAAGAGTTAGTAGCGTCAAGAGTTAGTATGTAAGGAGCTTGAGGGTCGAATAGCTGAACTAGAGAAGGAAATTGAGAGTAACAGCAACCCCATTGATGAAACGATGGAAAAGGATATCTTGGCCATTCTTGCAGATAGAAGTGATGAAGTTACCCCACACATGAAAGTTTTCTGGGAGCAACAAAGGAAACTACTGGCAATGCCAAAATTTGGAAGGAGGTAAATGAAGTATTGTATTATTAGAAGTTAGAATATGTACTTTTTAATATTCTAGAGTATTTGCAAAATACTCAAACAATAAAAATCACTCAGCTGTTTGGAAACCAGTGTTTCCAAACAGCTGAGTGGTTTTTATTGTTTGAGTATTTTGCAAATTCAATAGAGCAATGAATATCGGTTGGTGAACAGTCAAGTGAATTCATTGTTCTCAAGTGTTTGGAAACCCTGGTGGAACACGAGCCACAAGTGTATGAAATAACTTCTTAATCGAAAATTGAGCCATTGTTTTACTAGTCTATGTGGCTTGTGAGTTCGAGTAAAGTTGTGTGATTAAAATTTGCAAACTAACCTATATTGGTTTGTTAACTTATAATTAAGAATTGTGGTAATAACACCGTTTTCATTGTTTTGACTGTTTTCACTTGACAAGTAAAATTGTCTGGCGTTAATTAAACAGCGTGACATACTAAATTAGGGCGCATCAGGGTGCATTGCCACTTAAAGGGTTAAGGAATGTTGTAATGGCTCACTTGTTATTGTCTCCAGCATTTATTATCTAATTTCTTAATTACTGATTCAAAATTTAGATCTTTACCGGGGTTTTAAAATTCATGCATGTGGCAAAATGTTTATGTTTGATTGGTCTATTTGCTCATGAATTATTAATTATTAAATATATTTTCCCCCTCATTCATACTTTACATGTTCTTTGTGGTATTACCGTAAACCTCTGAGTATAAGCCCTTGGCTTATATTATATTCTTTTTCGTAAGCGATTTTTGATGGGCATATACAAGGAGGTGCTTATACGGGAGGGCTTATACATGGACGGTCTTTTGTGTTAGTGTATAATAGTGATAAAAAGTATAGTAATAGTAATAAACAAGTGTTAAGCATAGTAATAATAGTGATTATATAATAACTACAGTGAAACACGCAATTTGATTGGTCAATAGCCGTGCAGGATGAGACAGTCTTGCACGGAAAAATTTTTAAATTCTTCGCGGGATTTTCAAAATGGCCGAAAATCAAAACATTTTAAGGTGTGAAGACAGTGAAGTTTGTAATATATTAAACGAGCGGCAAGTGAACAGTCGAAGGTTTGCAGCAACTACAGACAAGGAAGTTGACGAGTTGGTGTCAAATGCACAAGCTCATAGCACAAAAGCAAAAACAATATACGCCGTCAACATTTTTAAAGGTACACGATAGTTCATTTTTAAAACAACAACAATCTCCATTTACAAGCAAAATAATTAAACAAATTCATGAGAAAATACATAACAGTAACATTATTTTTTTAAGAATGGGCTAAAGTCCGACAAACTACAATGGAGCTACACGAAATGGACAACGTGACGTTAGACAACCATTTAAGATTGTTTTACGCCGAGGTCAAAAACCAAGATGGGGACGACTACAGCAAGTCGACTCTACTCGGTCTAAGGCATGGTTTGGGAAGATATCTAAACTCTCCACCACACAACAAAGGTATCAAAATATCTGGAAACCCAGAATTTAAGAAGTCAAACGTTGTCCTCAACGCCAAACTAAAATCCCTGAAGCAAGGCGGCAAGGAAAATGTACAACACAAACCTCCGCTCGAGCCAGAAGATCTCCAAAAGCTGAAAACCAGCGGTGTATTTGATTGTTCAAGTCCCCTTGGGTTGCTGCGAAACGTGTGGTTCAGTACGGTGTTGTTTTGGTGTCGTCGTGGTCGTGAAGGTCAACGAAACCTAACAAGAGAGAGCTTCGTCTTCGCACAAGATCCCACCGGCGAAGAGTACGCCACGATGACACACAGCGAGGCATCCAAAAACCACCCGGGTGGAATAAAGGATAGCGAGAGTTTCCAACATATTGGCCGAATGTACCAGACAAACGAGGAAACGACGGATACAGCGCCTTGAAGCTCTACATCAGCAAGTTAAATCCGGCGTGTGAAGCATTGTTTCAGTATCCGAAGCGTAATTGGAAACCAGATGATAAAACGTGGTATGAAAATCGCCCTCTTGGTATCAACAAACTTGGCGATATGATGAAAGATATCAGTACAGCTGCTGGTTTATCCAAGATCTATACAAACCACTGTGTAAGAGCCACTTCAATCACGCTTTGGTCAAATGCTGGCTTAACTAACCGCCATATCATGTCAATTTCGGGCCATCGCAATGAGCAGTCCTTGCAGCACTACAATCGTAGACCATCTACATCCCAGCTAAAGCGTTGTAGTGAAGTATTATCTGAAGCTCTGGGCAATGAAACTGGTCAATCTGATCGACATTTTGCTGTGCAGCGAAGGCGTACCGTTGAAAGGACCAATTCAATGTCAAGTGCGACGACAACTCTCACTTAACATTCGATCGAGATCGACAATCTTCCAAACTTTGGCTCTTTATTTAGCGGTTGTTCAATCGGAAATGTTAACGTTAAACTTTAATAAGCAGCAGTGAACTAGAACTGTTATGTTATTATACTATATTTAAACGTTTTGCATGTATAAACTATAAAAGCATCACTGTATATTTCGTTGTTGTTTTGAAGCCGTTAAGAACATTCGTGGGGGGTAGCGAATTCCTCTGCCTCTGATTGGCTAGTTGACGATTCTTGTGAGAATTGCAAATTTCATCAATAAATTTAATAAAGTTAACTGTTGTTTCACTGTGGTTATTTTATAAAATAATTACTAAATGGTTTTATCGTGCAGGATAGCGTGATCCATGCACTTGGGATGTTGCTCGACTTTCGGAAAGCGTAAAAATACACTCGCCTTCGGCTCGAGTATTTTTACGCTTTCCGAAAGTCTCGCAACATCCCTCGTGCATGGATCACGCAATCCTGCACGGAAAACCATTCGGTATTCCTTTATTAAAGTATGGCGCGCTTTAATGCTAGTTCTAACCCGCTTTAATATCGTCACTAAATTTAATTAAGTGTATGGGTTTCCAAAAGAGGTGTTTTATTCAAACTAAGTGCGATTAAATGTAATTTTTTATTTAACCAACTTTTCTCAGCTTATTCAAAGTGTAAACACACATTTAATATCTTTAGTATTTTTGCCAAAGCTGATTAATGACACGCTTATAATAATAATAATGGTTTAATACGTTCACTAAATAGCTTGATAAGCTAAAATACAGTAATGTTTACAGTGATAGAACATTTACAATGATAAAATGTAATGTAAAAAGTATTAATACTATGGTCTCTACTTTACTGAAGCTAGTTCAATGTAAAAAGTCTTAAAACTATTGTCATATTTACAGATAGAATTATATTATGTTAGTTATTATATACTCACTATAATATAAAAACCCTCATGCTTACTTATCAATATAAAGATTATATTTGCCAATTGCATATACAATTGGACTATGTTTAAAACGTTCTGTTTTACATGCAAAGTTAT